TCCCTCTACTCTGGGCACTCACATTCCTCTTCACACTCCATTTCTCAGCCAAAGTGTACTATCTTCATCTCCAAACAGAAAATTGCAAAAACTGGTCTGATCCTCCCATGTTCTTTCCGTGTTCTTTTAGGCAGTGTCTCCTGGTATGGTTGCTCTGAGGAGCTTGCAAAGGCCTGAGCCCGGGCTCCAGCAGTGGCCAGATCCTTTGCCCTTGGTCTGGCTTCCCACCATGCTCCTGGTGTCCACCTGCCCTCCATTTCTAGGGTATCCTAGACTGCTAGTGAAGGAAGGGCTTGGGCTCTGAGTAAGAAGCAGGCACTGGCTCGCATCACATGGAGAAGTAAAGATGTGATGGGGAAAGGATCTCAGAGTCCTTGGCATTCTGAGCTTTCTCTGTTGTGCTGTTCTTACTTATATCCTCATGTTCTTACTTATATCCTCGCATTCTTACTTATATTCTCGCGTTCTTACTTATATCCTCGCGTTCTTACTTATATCCTCGCGTTCTTACTTATATTCTCGCGTTCTTACTTATATCCTCGCGTTCTTACTTATATCCTCGCGTTCTTACTTATATCCTCGCGTTCTTATATCCTCGCGTTCTTACTTATATCCTCGCGTTCTTACTTATATCCTCGCGTTCTTACTTATATCCTCGCGTGTGCCTGTGCATCGTTGTACTCTATTCATGTAGCTCCGTCGTCCTTGGAGCTCTAATACTCTCTTGACCAGTCTAACGCTTGGCATGGGAAACTGGACATCTCAACCCTTAGAGATTGGACACTCTGACCTTACCTCTGTGCACATGCCCAGTTTTGGCTGATCTTAGAGGCAAAGCAGATGGGTCCTCTTTAGCACTTGAATGAAAGGCCACCTGAGAATGGCAGGTGCTACAGAGAGGAGACAGATGATAGGTGACAAAGGGGACACGTATTGGAAGGAGAGGCAGAGGATGATATACCAACCAGGAAGAGGGGAAGAATGGCAGGTAAATGTGGAACCCTGGAAGCCTAATAAGAAGAGGAGTCTACTCCTAGATGTGCCCTTGACCTGCTTAATAGACCCAACCAGGTGAGAAACTGCAGGGGGATTCAATAGCATAGCAATCATTAACTTCGGAAGAGCAGATTCAAGAGAGGCGGAGGCCAAAACCTGCTTGGAATGGATCCAAGGAGAGAAGAGGGGGAAAAGAATTCATAGCCAGCAATGCCAGACTTCTCTTTCAAGGAGTTTTCACTTTCTTTCAGGGCAAAAGAGACATGGGACAGTAGCTAGAAGAGGAAGAAATGGCGGTCAGGAGAGTCTCTTCTTCTTTCTTTTTATGAATGGAAAAATACTAGAATATTGATGGCTTGGTGCATGGTGGGTGGGGCATAGTGCATCAGTGGAGAGACCAGTCAGGTGGAAGAAAGGGGCACGGTACTCAGGTGCAGGACACTCTCCTCTCCTCATCACTTTCTTTTCTTGGTGAGGTCATAGTCTAAGCCCTCAGCTGAGAGTGCACGTGACACAGAGGTACTGAGAGATTGAGGACTCGGGAGACAATAGGAAGTAAGCGCTTGGGAGAATCTAGTGATTGGCAGCCCAGAGGTCACTGTAAGCTAGTGATCATCTGTCTAAGACCAGCGAGTCTGGTGGCTTCCTCTGAGCTGTGAGTGCCTATCCAAGGACAAATGAGTAAGTGGAAAGTTGAATTCAGACAAGCTGTGCTTTCCCTGGGCACATGCAGCGGTTCCAGACTGAGTGGATTTCAAAGGACCGGTTGAAACAACTGGCTATGGTGGCAAGAGATTACATGGAGTGGGGACAATGACGAGTGGGACCCACAGATTGTAGACTATAGTGAGGCTCTCTATGTGCTAATAAACCAAAGCAGATTCAACAGGAATGAGATCTAGGCATGTTTTCAGGTGACAGAGAGAAGCACCCACCCAGCCCCGATCTTAAACCTAAACAATTCTGATTATGGTCTAGGCCGAAAAGCTCACTGCATGTAGAAGTTCACACCTGTAATCCCAACTGAGACAGAGGGATTTAAAGTTCGAGGGAAGCCTGGGATACAAAGCAATACCCTCTCTCAAAACACAAAACAAAACAAAAAAATTAGAAAAGCTTACTAGTTGATAGATAGCCTCATTTGAGAAGTACAGGTGAGGGGCCTTGGGGTGGTGGAACACTGATCAAGGCCCTGCCTCAATCCGTAGTACTGCTATTATAGTAGCACATAATGATAGTAATTACTGTGTACAAGAAGTACTAGTTAAAGCCAAGTATGGTAGCTCATGCCTAGAATCCCAACACTTTGGAGCTGAAGCAGGAGGATTACCAGGAGTTTAAGGCTAGCCTGGGCTACAAAATAAAACAAGAGACTACTGGCTATGCAGGTGCATGCAGCAGTTGTGCCCAACAAGTGGAGACAGGGGCACTAATGTTCACTTGCGGTGCCCTCCTGAGTGTGGTCAGATGTCTCTCCTGACAGATTCCCTTCTCAACATTATCCTCCAGGAACTTGTGATTATCCTCTGCCTGAGTCAAAAGCTGCTTAATTCCTCTAAAAGCAGTGCCAGTTGGGCATTCTGCCTAGAAAGAGAAGTGAATCTGTGTCATGTCAGTGTCTGTTCAGCCTCCGTGGACAACTCTCCAGGCTGCCCCACCCCCCACCTTCTCCTTCCACAGGGTCTGAGGCTCTGTGGGGTGCCTGGGTGCTGAAGTCAGACTGGACACAGACTCAGGTACAGTGGGCCAGTTGAAATGTGTGTGTCAAGGAGATTTGGGGGACCTGATCTGGGAGGCAGGTAGAGGAAACTAGGGATTGGCCAAAGTGCCACTCTAAATGAATTCTCCCGTGAAGCCTGCCCCCCTCCCAGGGAGCCCCTCTAGTTAGGCAGCCTAGTGGTGCTCATATAGAGACAGATGCAGCAAGCCTTCTCTGCATTCGCCTGCCCTGATCATCCTCTGATAGTCCAGAAGCTCAGCCTCTTACCAGTTGCTTTTTCCTCCCTGTGTCCTCACTGAGACTTTCTTCCCTCTGTACCTGGATATGACTGTTACGCTGCCATGTGGAAACTGTAACTCTCTGAAACCAATGACACTAAAGGCAGTAGGTACTAAGTTTTGGGCATACAAACAATGTTCTAGAAGAGACAGGAAGTCAGTGGGACCAACAGAGTGTGTTGTGTACTGACATGCAGAGCTGACCTAACCTAGGGGAGCTCAGAGATGGCTTCCCAGAAGAAACTGTTTACCTGTGATCAGAAGAGCTGGGAGGACGTGAGTTCCCAAGGTGGAAGGAAGCACCTTTACCAAAAGGCAAGGAGTGAGACGGAGGAGCCTAGCAGTTTCAGGGCCCATGTCACCAAGGAAGTTAGTGGTTATGGCAAAGACAGCTGTCACTCCAGTCCACATTTGCTACCCAGGTGTAAATTTTCTGATTCCTGACTGAAGACACACACCCTTACACCCCTTCAGAAGCCACGGCTTCTATGCCTACTCTACCCCGTGGAGACACAGGATAAACTGGATTATGAACCTTCTGCTTGGGGCGGGGGCTTGCCCACTGTCATTATTGTCACCGTCTTAGGGCACCACTTGGCCTCACGCAGCACCAGCTGTTTGACGCAGAACAGAAGTGACAAGGGCAAATCCAAACCTCTGCAGAGCGTGTTCAGTGGGAAGAAGAGGCAGCAGAGAAGCCTTCTGGTGCCCAGCCTCCTTCCCCCACCTCCCTGGGCTCATCGGAGGTGACTCTGCCATGCCCAGTTGGTTGCTGGGAGATTCTTCGGAGGCTGTGTTGTGTTTGTCACTCCTACGCCGAGTAGCTCTTAAGATTCGCAGACTTCTGAATCTTTAAAAGAAAGAACTAGAAAAGAAATCCCAGCGGCAGTTAGTTGGTAGGTCATCTGCCAAGAATGAGGAGAGAGTAGTGACAGGTTTGGGGGCTTGAGAAGAGGGGGAAGTACAGGAGGGAGCTGACCAGAAACAAGTGGAATGACTAAGTAAAGGTTGGGAGCAAGCAGGGTCCAGCTGATTAATTTCTCATGGCGCTAGTTGACCGCGTGTGTACATTTCCCCCTCACAGCCCCACACCCTGAAGCAGAGCAGCGAGTCCTGGGGTTGGATGGCATATCCCTGGCCAGGAGGATGCAGATGGCTTGGTTCTGGCTTTATCAGATATCTCTGAGGCCTGAACGCTGGGACAGACAGTGTCTTAGTTAAGGTTATACTGTTGCTAAGTTGAAAACATGATGACCAAAACAACTTGGAGAGGAAAGGGACTACTTAGCTTACTACGCTTCTGTATCACTGTTCATCATTAAAGAAGTCGGGACAGGAACTTAAACAGCTCAGGAACCTGGCAGCAGGAGCTGATGCAGCAGCTATGGAGGAGTGCTTCTTACTGGCTTCTTCCCCATGGCTTGCTCAGTCTGCTTTCTTCTAGAACCCAGGACACCTGCCCAGGGGTGGCCCCAATGACCATGGGCCAGGCCATCCCCCATCAATCACTAGTAAAAATGCTCTATAGACTTTTTGGCTTTTTGAGACAGGGTTTCCCCATGTAACAGCTTTGGTTGTCTTAGAACTTGTGCTATAGCCCAGACTGGCTTCAAACTCATGGAGATCCACCTGCCTCTGCCTCCGTAGTGCTAAGATTAAAGGTGTACACCACCACCACCCGGCACCTACACTCTAATTAAGGTTCCCTCTTTTCCAGTGACTCTAGCTTGTGTCAGGTTGACATAAAACCAGCCAGTAGAAACACTGAAAATTTGTATTAACAAAGAAGCCAGTGGATTAAGTGGGGAGGGCTCTAGGAGCTGGCAGATTCAGTAAGATCAAACAGTATTATTAGTAAGAATAAGAAAGTGACAGATATGCAAATAAGAAGTTCCATGATGAAAATGCGGCGTCTCTAAGCTTAAAACAACTAGGTGTGCCATGTCAAGATCCAGGCAAATGGCTTGCTAGGGTGAAGGTGAAAGCCATTGGTGTGTAGAGCACAGTGAGCTTCAAGGACAAGTTTATTTTAATTTGTATTACATTTTATTCATTACATATATGTGTGTAGGTGTGCCTGCTCACAAGCATATGCGCCATAACACATTGTGTGAAGAGGTCAGAGGACAACTTGTAGGAGTCAGTTTTCTCTTTCCACCAGGCAAGTCCCACAGATTGAACTGAGGTCATCAGGCTTGCCAGAAGTGCCTTTACCCAATAAGCATCTCACCAGGTGAGGCCAAGCTTAGTCTTGCACCTGAGTGTCACACTTTCTTGGCCATTGTCAGGTTGGTTGAGGAGGTAACTAGCAGTGGTATAGGTGCCATGATTCACATGGAAGTCAGAGACTGACTTAGAAGGTCTATAGAGGCCAGTGGTAAGGATGAGTGGTGCTGGTCCATTGCAGATGTTGTGAGCTCAGACTTCTCTCCTGATTGGCAGGAAGAGGTGATGTAATTCACAGAGCATTTGTATTCCCTTGGAGAAGCAAGCACTTTTGACTGATGGGTCATTTTAGTGTAATTGAAAAACCAGGGGGAAGTTTGTAGAGAACACTGTCTGAAGTGCCCAAAAGCTTGGCCTCTGTGTTCAGCTCTGTCTCCTAGTCCAGTGTCTACAGACCTGAAAGAGAGGAGTGTCACAGGTCACTGCGGAAACACATGGGGGTGCCGAGGAGCTCAATGAAGCATATATTGGATTCCAGATACTTTTCTGAGCCCATGCATTCAAGCCCTAGTATATTTTGTTACTACCATTTTATAGATGACAAAAGCAAGTCCAGAAAGATAAGGAACTTACTGTCCAGGTTGTGGGATTCGTGACAGAACAAGGACCTCAAAGCCCCGCAGTCACCATTTTCTGGAATGTGTCTGCAAGGTTCTGCAGAACTCAGGTCAAGTGGATCACTGAAACCCCACACATGCCATGCAGAGGGCTTGGGGAGGAGGGGAGGAGGATGCTTCAGACAGGGGAGGAGGGGAAGAGCATTCTGGTGGCAGCAGTCACCCCCCCCCCCCAGGCTTTCCAGAGGAGCCGCTTACTCCCAATGAGTCCTGAAGCTGCAGGAGGCAGCTCGTGTGGCACCACCTCTCATACTGACCTGAAATACACCTGTTCATCGTCTCCTTACGCTTCCCGTTGACTCGGGCCACCAGAAATCAACTGTTTCCTTCTCCATAAGACTTTTCTTCAAATGTTAAATATTTGGGTCCACCATCATGGTGCTTCTTCTGTTCTTCAGGGTAGCAGCCTTGATTTCTTCCTTGCTTTCTTTGCGCCAATTGTCAGGAACCAAAGCTGTGCATAGGAGACAAAGTCCTAAAAAAAGAATGAACAGATGTTGCCCTTCAGGGACTCCTAATCTCCTGGGAAGGATGGAGCAGAAACTACTTTATGGCTCTCCCTCTTATTCCTAATCTGTGACTACTTTCAAAAGCCTCATCAGTGTCCCAGTAGGCACCTGTTGGGTTATAATTGATTCAACCACGGTACAAAGTGGAAAGTGAGCCTGGGTCCTAGGAGGCTGTTGGAGGCCTATGTCAGACACAGAAGTGGGAGACTTCAGGTTCATCCACATTATCAAGAATGAAGAGGACTTGCAGGGAGCGGGTAGGGTCTGGGTCTGGAGAGCTGGTAGGGGCCAGTGTTCAGGTTTGCACCAAGGGACTGGGACTGGGACAAGACTGAAGGGCAGTCGTATCAACACAGCAGGGAGGACCAGCATCTATGGCAGGGCTCCTGAGAACACGAGACAGACTCAAGAGCGTCTAAAAGGTAAAAGTCAAAGCCTTACTGGCCACACAGATGGCAGAAAGGGACAAGGTCAGCGGGGACAGTGAGGAGAGCGCTTCCAGCCACATAAGGGAGGAATAGTGAAGCTGCTCTGGGACCGGCCGCTGGGTTGCAAGTGCCCATGGGTGTTTGTGTGAAGGCATTTGTTCCTACAGGGATGCATTTGGATCGAAAGAAGCTCATGAGAGACATTTTGGGGTCTCTTACATGTAGGTGGTTGTTTTCATAACAATGGGGTTGGGAAGCTCACCCAAGGAAAGTATGCATAGAAAATAAAGAGAGAGGTCTTTATTAATTGCTTTTCTTACTGCTGTGACAAAATGCCTGGCAGAATCGACTGAAGGAAAGAAAGATTATTTCGACTCACAGTTCCAGGATCCGTCATAGTAAGAAAATCATGGAGGCAGGAGCAGGAGGCAGCTGGTCACACTGTGTCCACAGTCAGGGAGCAGGGAGGTGCAAGCTGGCCTTCAGCTCACTCTTTTAGTAATTCTGGGATTCCAGCCCATGGAATGACGCCACCCACAGTTAAGGTGGGTCTTTTCACCTCAGCAATCAAATAGAAATTCCTTCACAGACGTGGCCAGAAGTTTCTCTTTGGGGGGATTCCAGAAACTTCTGGCTAGTTGATAGTATTAAACCCACACGTGTGAGTCCCTTAGAAGCACAAATTCTCTGTTGCTGATGGACTAAAACAAAGCCTCAAGAAAGGCTTGAGGGTAGTGAGAGCAGAGAGGAGAACCGAAGAGCACAAGGTCCCCCAAAGAAGCCTGCTTTTCTTTACAGTACCCAGCTGCCCAAGGGACCCATTGTGCCCCCTGAGCCGCCATGACCGTAAAGGGCACTCACAGGCTTTTCTGATCTCAGCGTTTTTTGTTTTTCTATCTTTTTGGTTTCTATTGTGAAAACTCTTGTTTGTTTGTTTGTTTGTTTGTTTGTTTGTTTGTTTGAGACAGGATTTCTCTGTACCTTTGGAGGCTGTCTTGGAACTCACTTTGAAGACCAGGCTTTCCTGGAACTCAAAGATCCGCCTGCCTCTGCCTCCCAAGTGCTGGGACTAAAGGTGTGTGCCACCATTGCCCAGTTGTTGTACAAACTGTTGTGTAGCCCAGAATGGCCTCAAGTTCACTGTGTAACTGAGCATCACCTTGTAGTCCTGATCATCCTGTCTCTGCCTCCCAAGTGTTGTGATTACAGATGAACACCACCATCCCTGGCTTGGCTTCTCTCTTTAGGGAAGTCTAGGAAAGATGCCCTGGGCCAGAGGTCATTTTACAATAACCTGGGGGTTCCTGCCGACCACCAAAATCATTCCCACTCTCCACCCTGAATAGACACCACCTGACCTGAACGATGTTGGATCTCTTCCAAGTTTTGGAGAATCCTCATGTCCTGAGCCACTGTACCTGATGGGACTAGTGTCTCTTTTGAGTCCCTCGACATCTGGAGGTGGGCATGCTAAGCTGCTGACCTGCAGGAGGACTGCGGGGTTTTGAGAGATACTCAGTACAGCAGAGATCCTGCAGTTTATGCCCAGCTCTACCTCTGTGAAGTGTGCAGGCTGGTGCCCCTCACTGCCCTCTGGTGTAGATAGTCTGCTTGCCCACTCTCTCTTTTGAATAGCAGACCTGAACATAATCCAGTCTTCAAAAACAAGGCGCCACATGTTTAAAAGCTAACAGCTATTAACGAAGTGGGGAAGAAGTACCATATGTAGACAAAGGCCATTTTTGGGTTGTTGCCATGGAAAGCTCAGGCCCAGTTTGTTTACATGTTTGAGGCCTAATGTGCTCAGTGTCCCCAGTGGTGAAGTTCACGAAGTATGCTTACACATACACTCTTGGGACTCATATGTAAATGAAGCCTTTGTCTTTACTAGGCATAGAGATGTTTCAGAGAGCCGACTCCAAAGGCAAAGACAGGAGGATCTTTGTAGTCAATCTGGGCTACAGAATGGGTTCCAGAGCAGCCTGAACTTCAGGGTGAGGTGCTACCTCAAAAACTGATAAAAATAGGTAAACAAACAAACAGTTTGGAGGACCTGTGCCCTGTGTGTGAAACTGCAACTCATGAAATCCATATACTGCTATATGTTCTTAATAGTTGGGATAAATAATCCTCTGCAAACAACTGGTGTTTGAATCTTGTCCATCCAAAGATGCATAGAGGCATAAATTTTACTTAGTTTAATATATCAGAGAGACTGTACCCACTGAATAGAAAATTCAGGGATACACCCCTAAAGAGGCATAGGGATTTCTAGGAGCCAGGAATGGTGTTACATGTCTGTAACTCCTGCCCCTGGGAGGCTGAGGCAGGAGAATTGTGTATTGGAGGACAGCCTGGGTTATATAGTGAGATCTTCTAAGAACAAACTAACAGAGCCTAAGGAGCAGCTGGGCATTTCCTTGTGTACAGAGAGTCTGGAGTAGAGGGACAGGAGTACCAACCGAAGGCCACCCAGCTTCTGCAAGTAAAAACAGTCTGATGATACATGATAGTCTCCAAGGTTCGGCAGCAATTTAGACTCAGGAATAACTAGCAGTATTGGTCTCCTTTACGGTGGAGAAAGCAAGGGACCCAGGAGGCTTGTCTGCAAAAGGTCCCCTGCTAGGACACAGCAGAGCTGAGCTGAGTGCTGTGCTTTTCACTCTGGCCTGACTGAGGACTCTGCACAGCAGCAGGTCTGTGGCCTCATCACCAACACACCCTCCAAGGGTCCGCCTCCACCCTCGGTGGCTTCAAAAGCAAGGCCTGAGAAGGTGCCTGGTGAAGAGAAGCAGTTCCAGCCAGATTCAAGGAACCAAGCAGCTGCCATAAGCCCCGAGAGCAGGCTCCAAAGGCAGGACTGGGTTTTGGAAAGGGGATGTCCCCCCATTCTGCACCCTGAGAACAGGGACTCCTCCCAGGTCAGAGGATCCTAGGGCTGGTGCCAGCCAGACCTCCTAAAGTGCTGCAGAGAAGGAACTAATGGCTGGTCGAGGAAGGCTGGGTGAGGTTGAAGTTCACTGAGCCATTGGGTGGGCATTTCTACAGGACACTACTTTCGCATACTTTTTTTTTCCTCCCGCAGACTGAGGGATAGCAGGAAGCTCTTTTAGTAGCAGCTTTTCAACCCTGAAGGCATTTCTCAAACTCAAATAAAATACAGGGAGAAGTTAATTCCTTTGCCCAGCTGTTCCCCCTAATTCAAGGTTAGATGGCAGCTCTGTGTCAGATACAGTAACATGAGGCCTCCAGGCCCCTCCTGGGATTCCTCGATGCCCCTCTCCTTATGGATGAATCTGTTCTTCTTCTAAACCATGGCATACCTCAGATCCAGAGATAAAAAGACGCACCAACAGTCATTCTGGACTCACTATAAATCTGATCTTTGCCTAGATGTAGCAGAAACAAAATATGTTGCTTCCTCCTCATGGGAGGAACTGGCATTTTTTTTAACGAGGAAGGGGGGGCGAGGGGGGCTCTTCTGGCCTTTTTGAACTGGCCTCTTAGAGAGGGAAATGAATAACATCCTGATTGGCCTCCATGGAGTAGAAGTGAGGGGAAGCAGCTGGGGTGGGGTGGGGGGTGGACCAGGCTATGACCTAGGAATCTCTTTACCCACAGATGTCAAAATTGGCACACAGTGAGGCCATTGGGCCAAGGGGAAATCATAACCAGGTTCACCCAGTGGATTGGGCATTTTTCACACTTACTAATGAAGTGAGCTTTTTATAAGGGCCCCTCAACAGGCTTGTGTAGTGTTAAAATTGGGGTTACCAAGGCCTTTTCTCTAAACAAGCAAGCCTGGGAAGGAAGGAATAGAGATGGCAGGGGCCCAGGGGCCCGACCCTCCTATCCAAGGCCTATACAGAAGCACAAGGCTGGGAGCTCCCTAGTTTACCTAAAGAGAGTGTCAATTCAGGTCCCTGAAACCTGGGCTAAGTCTCGGCACTGAGGCTGGATGGACCCAATTGGACAAGCCCAGAGCATGTTGCTATGGGGAGCCTGAAGCTTAAGCCCCGAGCATAGGGAGTGGGGAGGAGGGGAAGGGAGACCCACTGAATGTCCAGTGTGGTGGACCCAGGGCTGCATTCAAGACAAGTGTGCCTGTCCTGCTTCTGTCACAGGCCATGTCCCATCCCCAACCTGGGCCTCAACTGCCTTGTTTAGCAGTCCTGAGAACTGGATAAACTCTAAGAGACCAACAGTTAGTAATTGCTTTAGGGGAAAGACAGGCTATGGTGGCAAAAGCCGGGACTTTCCAGCCTTAGTATGTGCTGGGTGCCCTGGAGCTACTATTTGTTTGTTTGTTTTCTGAAGACAGGTTCTCATGTAGCCCAGGCTGCCCTCAAAATCACCAGCTAACTAGGGATGACCTTGGACTTCTGATCCTCCTGCCCCTACCACCCAAGTGCTAGGATCACAGATTTGTGCCACCACACCCCATTTCTGTGATGGCTGGGGCTTAAGCCATAGGACTCTGTGCATGCTAGGCAAGCACTCCACTAACTGCTAAACTGCATAAGATCTTATGAGATGTGCAGTAAACCTGGGTAGGGTCTGAATGGTCCTCCCCTTCCCACCCCCAAGTTTTTTTAACATAATATCTCACTTTGTAGCCCAGGCTGGCCTCAAACACATGATCCTCCCCCATTTCTGCTTCTTACTACTAGAATTACAGATAATTTTCCACGTCTGGCTTGAAACTTGTCTAGCCAACCCCCAAGCACCACAGCCCCTCCTCAGTGGCTAGACCACACTCTGAGTAGTAAAGACATATAGTGCAACACTGTGCTTCTCCACGCTAGGCCCTGCCCCACCCCACCCTTCCCTGAGCGTCCCCAGGAAGGAGGTGGGAACTGGTGACAGCTTCCTTGTGTGGGGTCTCCCACCCGCTACCCCCTGGCATTGTGAGAACTCAGGGCACACGGGCCTGGGAAAGAGCTCTGTGAAGGGTGCAGCGGAGCATTGTCACCATTGTTACAGCGCCTATGCCTCGCTGCTCACCGTGTGTGTTCCTGAAGCTTCTCAGCTTTTCCCTACACCCTCCCTGGCTTCCATGCCCGGGTAGCTGAGTCAGCGTGACCAGCCAGAAAGCTTTGACATGTCAAGACAGGAAATGACAGTTCCCAGGTACTGGCTGATTCAGGTATGGAAGAGCCTGGGACACAGCTCATGTGATCAATTCAAGAAATCCCAGACTGAGCCCCATGCCACACCTCTGTGTGCCAAGTTGAAGAAATGAGGCTATCAAAGAAGTGCCTGAAAGACAAGGGCCCCGAGCAAGCACCCGTCAGTCATCCATCCACCCAGTGAGCCAACTTCTGCCTACCTCAAGTGGCCACTGGGAGCCTCACAGGTGGTTCCAGAACCTTAGCATGCTTGTCTGTGAAATGGAGCCCACAGCAGGGTCTTGCTGTGGAGGCAGCTGCTGTGGTCCCATAGACCAGGTGAAGTCCGGATATGAAAGTGTGGGAGGTGCCCTGAGCAGCATTGGCTCCAGGGCCCTCTCACCCACTCTGTTCCAGCTTTTTGCCCCAGTCACCCTAGCCCTAGGAAACTCCCCTCTGCAAACAGTGCTGCCTGTGGCTATCCCTGCACAGGCCCTGGCGCCACCCACTTGCAGGCTCAGAAGTAAAGCGCTGCTCTACTTACTGTACTGCACTTGATTAGTGAATAGCAGGTCAGGCCAGACCTTCGGCCAAAGCCCTCTGCCTCTCAGTGTCTGCTTCCCTTGTTGCTTGCTTGCTGGTTGGTTTTGAAATAAGATCTTTGGCCAAGACTAGCCTTAGACTCTCAAATTTCCATAAGCAGCCAAGGATGACCTTGAACTCTCATCTTCCTGCTCCCAGGTGCTAGGATTACAGGCATAGCCACTAAGTCTGTTTATGCTGGGCTGGGGATCAGTCTCTGGGCTTCATGCTTGCTAGGCAAGTGCCTCACCAGCTAAACGGCATTCCTAGCTCCAGGTCTGCTTCTGTTTTACCACTCAGAGTAAGAGCATTGATGGGTTCCGATTAGGGAAAGCTGACCACACTACAGACGAAAATAATGCTGGTTTGTAGTCCTAAGTATATGAGAGGCTGAGGCAGGAGGATCATTTGAGCCCAGGAGTTCCAAGGCTAGCCTGAGCAACAGACCATCTTTGTTTGTTTTTTTGAGACCGGGTCTCTCTACATAGTCCTGGATATCCTGGGACTCACTATATAGAGGATCAAAGGCATGTACCCTCATGCCAAGAACACCATGTTTTAAAAGTCTACAGTTAGGTAACTAAACAGTCCGCCACAGCCCCTTCAGCAGCATGGAGGACCTCCGGCTCCCTGCAGAACAGGTTCCTCTCTCCTTTTCACAAGCATGCCACAAGCTTACAGGAGAAAATGACTCTACTCCGTTTTGAGAGCCAGTTTGCCCACTCTCCCTCCCAGGCCTTTGAAAACCGTTCAGGTCAGGCAGCATCCAGGCCCTGCAAAGCCAGGCCTGTAGACAACCTGAGGAGTTGAGAGTTGTCGGAGAAGAGGGTCAGGCATCAAACATACTCCTAAAGGACAAGCCGCCAGTGTCTGTGGGTGCTGGTTACACACTGATTTTTTTTTTTTTACGTTTGATTTGGGGGAGTAGCAGATGTCACAGTGTGCTTATGTAGAGGTCAGTCTTCTCCTTCTACATATGGGCCCCAGGCATTAGGTCAGGCTTGGCAGCAAGCACCTTAGCTGCTGAGCCATCGTACCGGCCCGATTACTGATTTTTGAACGTCTTTCTTGAGTAGTGGAAACAAGGCTTCTTGGCCCCCAGTTTGACTTCAGAGTTCTCAGCTGGACACTTCACATGGGCTTTGCAGTGGAGGACAGAAACCACACTCCCACTGCCCAACTGAAAGGACCACCTAACTCAGGAATGGAGGGCTAGGGGATCGGCTCAGTGGGAGGCACTTGCTGCCAAATGAGGCTGTGTCAAACTGAATCCAATCACAAGTCTCACTGGGGAAAAAGTACTGGTGTTGACTGTAGGAGCACCGAGTCGGAACCCCTGGCCATAAACTCACGCTGTCATCGTTTACCTCTCTCTGCCTCCATTCTTTGATCTATAAGTTGGAGGTCACAGCATCATCCTGAGTTGTAGGTGTCCTTTGAATGGGATAGTGTCTACATAAAGAAGCTACCTGTGTCTGTCAGTCCCACACAGGCTTAGCAAATGCCTATTCTTTTCCTTTCTTGATATCCCTCTGATCTCAGACCTCAACTGTGAAGTTTTCCTATCCATGGAATGCTAACTTCCTGAATCTGTGCAGCAAAGCTTTGCTGTAGGAACCTGTGACAAGGTGCCTGGTGGACACTGGCCCTCCACCTCAGCAGCGGATCAGATCAACAAGGAAAATAGCTCTCCTGTTCTCCGCAGCCCAGGACTGAGTGCAGAGCCAGTGGGAACTATCTCTGTTGGGGCTCTAATGGTTTCTAGTCTCAGACCCACAGGGGCTCTGCCTGGTGACCTAGTGGTGTGTATGGGGCCCAAGCATTCCTGGGTGGTCATCAAAGACTGTTTCCCTGGTAGCTGTGCCCTGTTTGTTGAGAGGATTGGGGCAGGAGGCACACAAGTAAATGGCTTCTCAAAGAGACTCCTTCCAGAGTCGTTCTTCTGGCCCTTTCTGATCTGGCATAGGAATCTGCACAGAGGTAGAACCGTTTCTTCAGTGCAAGTTGGATCACATTCCTGACACACTTTAAAGAGAAATAATGTGTGTACACACGGGTGAGTCAACATCGCGTGCAGCCAGCCGTGGCCACTGGGAGAAGTGTCAGCCGCAGAGCTTCGAGCTCACCTGCCCCCTACTGAGTCAGGCCTTGTGCAGGCACTGCCAGGGAGGCCACTGAGCAGGTCCAGGCCCTCTTCACATGCTTCAGCAGCTTCCTGATCTGTTTTCAAGCCACTTTTCTCTTCGACAATTTTCTCCCTGGTTACAAAAAGCTACAGAAAACACATGTAAAATGGTAGGAAATAAATAACAGACGTGTCTCATATAATCCAGCTTACCTAGAGACAGTCATGTTTAATGTTTTGTCCTAAGTTTCTATTATTTGTTAATTTAATTTGTTTCTAGAACTAGGTGTGTGTGTGTGTGTGCGCGCACACACGTGCGTGCGTGCGTGTACATGCGTGTAGGTACTGAGAATTGAACCTGTGTTCTCTAGAAGAGCAGCCAGTGAGTTCCAGCATATCTAGGGCTGCATAGTGAGACCCTGTTTCAAAAGGAGGTGGTGGGGGCTGGTGGCATTGATTAATCCCAGCATTGGGGAGGCAAAGGCAGATGGATCTCTGTGAGTTCAAGGCCAGCCTGGTCTACAGAGAGAGTTCCAGGACAACCAGGACAGTTGCACAGAGAAACTCTGTCTCAAAAAACCAAAATAAAACAAAGTGGGGGGGGCTGGAATTCCTGTCCCCACCCTCAGGTGTTGGGGACCATTGGTACAAGAGAAGTAACCTTCATTAGAGCCACTCTACCCTCTTGAGCCCCAGAAGATAGCCTCAGTGAAGTGGGGTACACAAACCCACCGTGTGCTCTAACTCCCCACCCAAGGCTTCTGCTGTGCCCCTCACACATCAACAGATCTTCCTCAATGGTGGGGTTTCCAGGCCAGGGGCTGACGTGCCCACTGCCTGCCTCAAGACTGTTCCTCAAGCTACTTTTCTCACCCGAGAGCCCCCCACACTCCCTTTACTTCCCAGGATTTCCACAGGATGCTCCCCCAACACAGCTGCTCACGAAGCCATGAAGTCATTTTCTTTGTGGGCCCTATACCTAGTTCACAAGGTACTTGTCTAAACACAGCATTATAACAAAGTTCAGTTAATAGTTTAATTGATGTTCAGGACAGCCAGAGATCTACAGAGAAACCCTGTCTCGAAAACAACAACAAAACAAAGTTGAATTGATTTTGGCTTACAGTTTATGAATGGGAGCCTCTCCTTTTTACAGATGGGAACAATAGCTCGAGGGTGGTGTCACTGCAGAGGGTTTTGTAAGTTGGCAAGGAGACAACAGTGGGGAAGCTGGTTGGTGACCATGGAGTAGCTAAAGGCTCCTTTATTTTCTTTTAAGGATTAAAAGATTGTTTCATCAAGGTCATATGGATTATTACGCTGACTCAAGCAGATTGGAGTGTTCTGTTTTCAGGAAAAACTCGTCTGCTTTGAGATCTGTCTACTTTCCTACAGTCGGTTTAATCGTGTGCCATTTGTCATGAGTGGCACCATTTGATGTACTCTGCTCTTTCCAGGGCTTGGTGCAAGATCTCAGTTCATAACAATGGCCTCCCAACGTTTTCTCTTTCTTCATTCTTACACTATCTGATCATTCATTCACATTAGCCCTTTAGTTCCAGAAGCAGGTAGGTGTCTGAGTTTGAGACCAGCCTGGTTTACATAGTGAGTTCCAAACTGAGCAGGGCTTCATAGTGAGACCCTGTCTCAGAATAGAACAAAACACAAGAGAAAAGTATACTCTTGTATTTCTAGAAGGGTCATGTTCCTTCCCAAGTCCCAGAGGAGAACCCTGCCTTGCCTCTTCTAGCTTCTGGTGGCTACTGATGTCCCTCTATCTGTCTCTCTATGGTCACCTTCCCTCTGTATCTGTGATCTCCCTCTTTCTCTTATAAAGACAACAGCCCTAAATCCAGCGTGATCTTGAAACCCTTCTTTCTTGTTAGTCTTTGTGTGTCAGAGGGTGTGTGTGTGTAAGTGTAAGTGTAAGCAGTTCCAAGCTACAACACACTTGTAGCAGTCAGAGGACAACCTCAGATGTCAGTCCTCACATGCCATTGTGTTTGAGACTGGGCCTTTCATTGCTTGCCAGACTACCTGGCCCGTGAGCCTTCTGGCATTTCCTGTCTCTGTCTCCTTTTTCTTGTGTAGGAGTGCTGGGATTACAAAGGCATGCAGCTCGGATCTTTACATTTGTATGGCAGTTGTTCTGCCCACTGAGCAAAGACTTTCTAAATGAGGTCATGTTTGGAGTCTGCGACTGAACATGTGTCTGCCAAGGGGAATGTGGGACACTGGAGTAGGCAAGGTTACAAGGTCACCAGCGGGGGAATAACTTCCCCCAGGTTACAAAGTGAGAAAGTAACAGGAATTGTCATTTGAACCCAGGTCTTCAACTTATCATGTGCCTTTAAAAAAAAAGATTGCTGTCCTGTTGCTGCTTGGTTATATTATCTGCTTTGTAGGAAATGAGATTTGGTAGCTATTACCCTAAGTTAGCTCAGACATCATCTCACTGTTGCTCCGTTAGTATATTATTGACAGTGACATTGAAGCCATTAGTGCCAATGGGAATCCCTTAGGTGGGAGTCACTCCCTTATGTCTGATATGGTGATACCCACAGGGACAGATGGCCTTGCCTATAGTAACAAAGAAAGTTGCGGGCAGAGTTCTGATTATAACATCTTGACTCATAATCTCTCTTCTAATTTTAACATGTGCATTGTCACTGATGTTGCACATTATAAAAGTAGTCTCAATGTCCTAGTGACCCATTTGTGTTAAGTCACCATGAAATGCTTAGTGCCTTTGGCACTGTTCAACAATTCCCCTGTTAATGTCCCATTGTTTAATTCAGCCCCACCCCACCCCATACCCTGACCATACATGGCAGGCCTGTCCAAGAGTCTGACCAGCGACTTGTCCTTTCTCATGGTGGCTCTAAGGGCCTTTGAAAACAGGAAGATGTGTCACCATCACACCTGGCAGTGAGTGTCTCCTGACATTCAGGGTTAGTGCAGGTGTTTCTTTACCATGATAGTATTTTTGTTTGTTTATTTGCTTGTTTTTCTTTCTCTTTTCTTCACTTCCAAATCTGGAAGACTAGGTCTTTCCAAAGTAACCTCATGGCCATAGCCCAAACTTCACACAGCCAAGTATTGCATATGGGACTACCATGGTTTAATGATTGTCATAAATCATTAAGTAATCTGAGTTAAAATAGATGTGTGTTATACATACAAACATAGGAGTCATAACAGAAAGCTGGAGTCAGGCGGAGCCCCTTGGCTATGTAACACGTCTGTCTGGGGGTGTGGATCATACAGTGATCTGTCATGTATTGAGCGGGTAGATTCTGAAAAACGTGTCTATCATCTGGTGAATTGTATGACCATCCTAAGTCTACTTGTAAAAATTAAATAGCATATATAAACCACTCACTTGATGTTGTCTCTGCCCGCCCCTTCTTTGTCTTTTTGGCTGGCAGGATTTTGCTATGTAGTCCAGACAGGCCTGGAAGGCATAGTGATCCTCTGGCTTCCACCACTCAAGTACAGGGATTGCAGGCATGCAGTGCTGCTGATGTCTCTTAGAATAAGAGATACAGTAAACGCAAACTATGGGAAACTGCTGCATGCAGAACCCAGCATAGCTGGACAGTCAACTTTTTTATAAGTAAAGGGAATATGCTCTCTAAGGTAGCAATGATACATAAAATAGTAACAGCTGATGATTGTCACTACTAAGTATCGCACTGCACATAACTGTGAGTACTATTTTTAACCATTTTTCCCCTTGCTGTATCTTCATTGTGCATGGTACTGGGTTACATAAGGACATTTTCATACATGTATATAATACACTTTGAGCATGTCTCACCCACCACCCTTTTCATTCTTTTGAGGAAGGGTCTATTCTTTTTATATAATATACTTTTTATTATATATTTAAATTAGAAACAAGCTTGCTTCCCATGTCAGTCCCAGCTCACTCTCCTTCCCCTCGAGAAAGGGTCTATTCTTTCTTCTTCTTTTTTTTTTTTTTTTTTTGAGACAGGGTCTGTTTTAAAGCCTTGATTAGCCAAGAAGTCATAGCAGTCCTCCTGCTTCAGCTTCCTGGATGCTGGTTTTATAGGCATGAGCTTCCATCATGCTTCTGTATAACTGAAAGCGTAACGGATGTGTTTTCACTGACATCCCCACAGACCTGTACATGATGCATTGGACTGTGGGGATGGTTTTGATGTCACTTGGTGATGTACTGTGCAGTTCCTTTAACTCATGGACCACCATCTCCTATGTAGATCAAAACACTGTTGTGCAGCATGCAAATGAAGTTAAGTCAAGAGGAAAAGACGAAATCATCATATCCTCTCATCCTACCTACCTTCTAACATGAGCCAATCTGTCATAAATAACACTGTAGGCAGAGTTTTTTGTCAGGACTGCCAATCAGCTGCTCCAAAATAACTACACAGAGACTTAATATTAATTATAAATGCTCTGTGGATAGCTTAGGCCCGGGAATAACTAGCTCTTACAACTTAAATTAACCCGTATTCCTTATCTTCACTTTATCATGTGGCAGTACCTTTTTTCAGCATGGCATGTTAATCTTGCTTCTCTCCGCATCTCCTAGTGACTCTGCCTTCTACCCTGAACTCTTTTTTTTTTTTGTCTGAAAATCCTGCCTAACCTCTGCCTGTCCAGCTATTGGCCAGTCAATTCTTTTATTAACAATGAGAGTAATACATATTTACAGTGTACAAATATTGTTCCACAGCATAACATACTACGGACATGTTAGAAATGTGCTTGGGGACACAACCCAACTAGTAATCAAGGTTCTCTGGCAAAATAGAACCAATGGGAGTTTACATAGGCAGGCACGCAGGCGGACAGACAAAACTTATTATGGGAATTAATTTATGATTATGGAGTCTGGGGAGTTCATTGTTACTCAGGAAAGTCTGCAAGTCCAAAAGCCTGAGGACCAGAAACACCGAGTTCTAAAGGCAAGAGAAGACACTAGGCCAGCTCACAGAGAGCACATGTTCTCTTCTTCCACTTTGTATCAGACTCAGGTCCTTGGTGGGACAGTGCCCACACATATTGGTGAGGGAGGGACATCTTGCTCCTGGCTCACAGAAACAATGAGAATGCTTTACAGGTACTGGACATCCTATAGCCTGGTCAGGTTAACACGTAAAACTGGCCAGTGTGCCAGGTGAAGCTAGCATCCTCGGCTGTGCTCACGATAACTTAACCTGCAGAGTAGAGAATGGCATGTTCCCCACAGCACAGGGCTTCAGCACAATTCAGTGAAGTCTGTCTGGTGAGTGAGGCAGGGAGGCTTTCGGGGCTCCCTGCATGTGGCTAGGCCCTTAATTGTCATGCCATCTTTATTGCAGTGAACTTACCTGGAAGGGCACATGTCTTAAGGAGCATTGTCTATTCCATAGGGTGCGTGTCTCAAGGAGCATTGTCTATTCCAGATTCTGTGTTTGGTGTGTGGTCTTTCTCTCTGGTGGCTAGAATCTTTCCACAGCAGCTTTTCAACAAACTTCAATCCTGGATGAATCTAATTGACACAAATAGCAAGAGAGTAGTTAGATAAAATTAGCAAAAAGGAGAATCTCATCTGCCCCACTCACTTCTACCCAGGGCCTCCTGGCCGCTTTGACAGTAGTACATAAAGGCAGAACATGTGTTCTGCACTGGTTACCCAAACTGCCAGCATTCCAGATGCCACAGCATACCTTTAGTGAGTTTGTGAAACCCAAGAACCTGGGAAGAGTGACTTTCCCAGGATTCCAAGCAAGGAGTCGGGATTCAGGAAGCCCACCTGAAGGCACTCCCTGGGCCACCCCTGGCCCCACAGGCTCGGTTCTGTCCAAATCCCAGAGTCTGCAACTCTAACTGCGCTGAAAGCAGTAGAGGGAGACCGCTGTGGCTTTCTGGTCACTTGCCATCTTATCCCTTCCTCCTTCTTTTTAATATTAGTTCTGTTTTCTGCCTATCCTGGCCCTAGATGCTCAGGCTCTGGCACTCAGTCCAGAGGCTGTTGACTGAAATGACTGTCATCTTTCTCAGGTGAGCATGACCGATGAAGTCTGGACTCCTTCAACTCTAGAGGAATCCAAATCCTCAGCAACTTCCAAACTAACAGGAAGGCGGAGCATGTGAACAGCATGGGGTGTGGATGGGGATGATCTATAGGGTCCCCAGATTAGCCTGAGTCCACATGCTTCAATCCACCCCTAAACACTCTGAAATTACTTGTATAATTTTCGGTGTGTAAACATACTGCTTTTTCCCTTATGTAGGGCCTTATATAATTCATCCCAGCCCTACATATCTCTCTCTCTCTCTCTCTCTCTCTCTCTCTCTCTCTCTCTCTCTCTCTCTCTCTCTCTCTCTCTCTCTCTCTCTCTCTCTCTCTCTCTCTCTCTCTGTATGGGGGGGTGTTGAATATAAAGCATCAAGCAAGCTGGGAAAACACCCTGTCACTGAAATGTACCTTCAGACCCAATCATACACTTTTATTGGTAAATTCATAGCTTTCACCAGCTCCGTTGCAAAAGATAAAGTCACTGTCAGAGTCTGGGAGTTTGTGTTTATTGCCCTTGGGTAGTTTCCTTGAGCAGATCAGACTTGAACTCATCCTTAGAAAATGAGATTTAGACAATAACGGGGTAGGAGGCAACCCTAGAGGGAAGAGTTCCCAAAAAAAGACCAGTTAAAACCAGTCACCTTTTGTCTTTCTAGCTCAGATGTTAGTAGCTGCTGCATCCCAGAGTTTTGTGAACTCAGCGCCTTTCCCCCTCGCGGTCTTTCCTCATTCCTCCGAAGAAGCCTTGACTCATATCAGAGTGGACACTAATCAATATTTGATGAATGTGTGAGTCAGATGGAGCAGCTGGCATGAGAGGACCTTGTAAACATCTTCAGCAGCAGGCCCTGGTTGCTAAGCACGTGTTCCCTGGGCTCTGCAAATAGCCTGCTCTAGGTGAGCAGTTTCTGGCCTCCTGAAACAGTCCTGTCTCCATAATGGGACACAAACATTCCCTGTTTGAGGGAGTGTCTCTTGGCCAGTCAAATGAAGGGTAGCTGTTCTGTCAACACTGACAAGATAGGCAGTTCCTAAGTGCACGAAGTGACCTCGTCCTCCAAGGGCTTAGCCTCTCCACCCAGTGCTTGCTGATCCCTGCGTTCCTGGTGCCCTGCTCTCACTCGAGCATGGGAGCCTCCTCGGGGCCTCCGCTTAGCAGGCTGAGGGAGGCAGGTACCTCTCTGCGTCTCAGGGCAATGGTGAGGAAAAGGGCCCCTTTGCTGAGCACACTTGGGGTCTCTAGTAGCCTGCCCACAGCTTCTTAGCTGTGCCCTTGCTGAGACACTGGAGCTATTGGTTTGTGTTCTGAGTGCCACCAAGTTGACAGGGTGAATCATCATTGTGACTACACTACCACAAGGAACATGGCCTGGTTTGGGGTGGGCAGGCTTTTGAAAGGCATTGGTGGAAGGTGACAGGCATTCTCAACACACATTAGGGTAGACAGAGGTGATTTTTACATATGCATGTTCTCCACAGCAGGTGCCACTGAAGGAAGCACCATGGGAGCTAACAGGGTGAGCTCCACACTAAGAATCAAGAGACATGTTCCAGGTCTGTCATTTATAGACTCCAGATGGGTCGCTCAAGCTCCCCATGTTTCAACTCCCCTACATGAAGGCCATACCCATACTACAATTCGGGACCATTGTGATGGCCAAAATGTATGGTGTCACCTCCAGGGGCAAAAGGCCACTTACTTGGCCTTATTGTCATCATCAAGATAGTTCTTATTGCCCAGGTGTTGGTGGCGCACTCCTTTAATCCCAGCACTTGGGAGGCAGAAGCAGGCAGATCTCTGTGAGTTCAAGTCCAGCCTGGTCTACAGAGCGAGTTCCAGGACAACAGCCTCCAAAACAAAACAGAGAAACCCTGTCTCGAAAAACAAAAAAAAAAACAAAAAACAAAAAAAAAAAAAAAAAGAAGAAAGAAAGAAAGAAAAAAATAGTTCTTATTACTATTACTTTCAGTGCCAGGACTCAAACCCAGGGCCTCCTGCATGCCTTGCAGCAACTCTACCACTGGTCCACCCCATGGTAGTAACATGTCCACAAACACCCCTGTTAGGCGCAGAGCACTCACGTGCCAGGTGCTTTCTTTTACCTAGCTCAGTCCCCATGGAGGCTCTGAGGTTGCGTGAGTTGTGGTGGGTGAGGGTCTAAGGCTCCTGCCTTGGTTTAGTGTGTGTGTTTTAACCCAGAACGGTTTCTGGTCTCCACTCTTAACACCCACTCATGATTCTTTTCACCTATTACTTTGTCCCTTCATATATTATGTACTAGTTGGGCATGGTGACACATATCTGTCTATACCAACAAGAGGCTGAGGCAGGAAGGTTGCCAGGGGAAGACAAGCCTGGGTTCCATAGAAGGAGCCTATCTCAAAAACAAGACCGTCTGTGGCTGCACCCTCCACCCCAAACCTTTCTTGTTTGTTCCATTTCTTACTCAAACTCCTCTTGCTACAACTTCTGATTTCTTTTCATTCTCCCTGACTTGACTTCAGTCCTTTTGTCCCTGTTTCCTATTTCCTGTCCTGACCTCTAAACACGATATACCCACACCCTTTTAGTGGCAGGCACTCTGCTCTTGTGACATGAGAGTGGTCACTCCATTCCCAGGTTTCCAGGCTCTAAAATAAAGCTAAGTAAATAGAGAAAAGGTGACCACCTTTTCTTCTGTTGTCACTAAGCTTAGGTGCCCCAGGCTGGTTCTTTGGAACAACAGTGAGGATGTGGCCCTGGATCCTCTCTTGTGAACATACAGGAGCTCAGCCTTCAGCAGGAAACCTTGTTAAGTGTCTTGGTTCCTTGAGACAGGAGCAGAGACTAGCTTACCCATCAGTTCCCAAGGGTCATGGCTGCCACCTCAAACATGGACAAAGCTTAGTTAGAGGCACCTTCCCAACATTACTAATAGGAATAGATCTGCAAGCTTAGCTTCTGTCCTTAGTTGGGTGTTCTTGGGGACACACTCCTGGGAACTGTTGCTAACATTGGAGTGTCAGCTGTGGCCCTGGCTCATGCTAGTACATGGTTTTAGTTCAGCTTAGGCTCTTTAAGAATCAGGGGCACTCATTTCCCCACCCCCGACTTCCGTTGCCTGGTTCCCCAGACCCCCATCCTAACCCTGTTCAGTGGAGGGCAGCTCTCCATGCTGAGGCCCCACCTGATAAACTGATTGCAAGGACCACACTCTCAAGGCAGGCTCCTTCCTGGGGGGGGGGGGGGTGCCTCTGGAGATGCTGTCTGCTCTCCCTGTGCAGGAACCTACCTCACAATTAGGTGAGAAATAAATCAAAGCCAAAGTTGCCTGATGAAATTCAGGAGCCAGCAGTGACCCTTGCCACACATATAAATCCCAGCCGGCCAGCCAGGGGCCTTTGTCTGGTCAGAGAGTTCAGGATTATCAGGCCCACTTTGCTGATGTATGGAGGCACCGGCTGCCGGAGTGTTTACTAACGGTTATCACCTCTGTGCTGGGGCTGTTATCACAGGCAGGGCCGCCCGCCGGGGCCGGGGCTCGCACCCTCTCTATTACCACCTGTCAGTGGCAGCGAGTGTGCACTGACACTGCCCAGTCCTGCCCCCCCGAGGAAAGATAGTTTCTGACAGCTGATCAAAGGGGCGAAACAAGACCTGATAAAGAGTGTGTGTTTCATGTACTTTTAACTTTGGGGAAACATCGGCATTTGCATTTTTTTCCTGGTCCTCCTGGAACTGGCAGGAACCAAGCCCAATAAATGTAGTGGATTCGGTTACCTAATCGAGAGGGAAATGGTATGTGCTTAAAGCAACAGACCATGGCCATAATCTCTTTCCAAGAATGGCTGGATGAAATAAGCCTTCTCAGTGAACTTGCTGTGGAATAAAGTCGAGTCACTTGAATTCAGACTTTGAAGTGATCTTGCGCGTAACATCTAATCTTGGCATTCAGCAGAACGCAGTGTACTTTCTGGACCTCGGGAGCAGGTTTGGATTAAGGAAGGATCCTTGCTGAAGATGCTATCACCCAGCTGTATCACTCACATCCCTGAAACAGTACCCCTCACATGCCCATGCCCCTGACGGCTGGGAGCCGATCTGCAGTGAGGGAGAACGAGTTCCAGACCGAGGCATCAGCACATCTGAGTCCTGGCACCAAGTCTGTCACAGCCTGCTGTTTATTCTAAGCCCTTGACCTCGCTAAGCCCCGGCTGTAAATGAGGCTGGGTTTAGGTTATAGAATACAGTGGTTCTGGGAGCTTTTTGTTGTTAAGTTTAGACTACATAACCCTCCCCACTTATTAAATCTTTGTGGTGTGTGTGTGTGTGTGTGTGTGTGTGTGTGTGTGTGCCACAGTGAGTGTGTATCGGGATCAGAGGACAGTCTTGAGTGTCAGTGGAGTGGGGGGGGTCAGAGGACAGTCTTGAGTGTCAGTGGGGTGTATAGTGGGGTGTGGGGGGTCAGAGGATAGTCTTGAGTGTCAGTGGGGTGTATAGTGGGGTGTGGGGGTCAGAGGACAGTCTTGAGTGTCAGTGGGGTGTATAGTGGGGTGTATAGTGGGGTGTATAGTGGGGTGTAAAGTGGAGTGTATAGTGGGGTGTGGGGGTCAGAGGGCAGTCTTGAGTGTCAGTCTTCACCTTCCACCTTGCTGTTGTTAACCACAGTGTACACCAGGCTAGCCCGCCCGTGAGCTTCTAGAAACGATCCTGTCTGTCTCTCATATCACCATAGGAACACTGGGATTATAGATGCTTCCGCTACTGCACCCAGCTTTCCCTGGGTTCTGGAGATCTAAACTTGGGACCTCATATGTGTTCAAGGGCTATAGTCACTGAGCCATCTCCCCAGACCGCCTTTTACTTTAGACAGTGTCTCATGTAGTTGGGGCTGGCCTCAAACTCATTGTGTAGCTGAGGACAACCTTGGACTTCTGATCCTCCTGCCTCTACCTCCCAGGTGCTAGGATCACAGGCGTGTGCCACCAGGTTTCTTAATTTGGTGCTAGGGATAGTACCCAGTCGCATGTGTGCCAGGAAAGCTACACCTCACTTGAACCACTCCTGAGTTTGTAGGTGGAGAGTGATTATGTCAGGGAACAGCAGAATTGTTTGAGATGAACCTGGGAAGGGGTTGCTCTCTGAAATCTCAGAAGACCAGAGGGAAGCCTGTCACACTTCAGAGACTGTTTTCACTCCAGGTACCTCGGCGATGTCCCCGTCATTCATGGGAGTGTGCTGTCTGATCCAGGGGCATGAGCTACCGTACTCAGCCTTACACATTCCTGTTCCCAGATGACCCATTCTTCACTCTTGGCATGACAGGCCATGGGTGGTGGGTAGACAGAGAACAGCCTGCCCTCTGAAGGCGTGGACTCAACATCTTATGTCCCATATGTGTCACAGGTACCTTTGACCGGAGCGTGACCCTGCTGGAGGTGTGTGGGAGCTGGCCTGAGGGCTTTGGGCTGCGGCACATGTCCTCCATTGAGCACACAGAGGAGGGCCTCAGGGAACGGCTCGCAGATGCCATGGCCGAGTCACCAAGCCGAGATGTTGTAGGATCTGGAACAGGTAAAGGTGTCAACAGACTTCTAGCCTGACTTGGTTGTGACTGGTGCCTGTGGGGTTGAGCTGGGGGGAGAGGGTATGTTTTAACCATTTGTTTCCATGGTTTAGCATTCTGAGTGCTACCCATTACAGAAGCCTGTGACACTGGAAAGTCCTGTGGGAAAGAGGGTTCCCAGCAGAACCGCCTCTCCCCCTGGAGCAACACTCAAAAATACCCTGAAAATTACAATTGTAGATCTGGGACTCTAGCTCAGCATCAGAGTCATTGATTGGCCTGCATGATCCCTAACTATGAAAGAAAGAGACAGACAGACAGACAGTCACAAAAACAAAAACACCTGAGGGGAAGGAAGGCATAAGTAGTAGCATACCTTCCCCTTCGTGTTCCAGTCTCTGGGGACTGGGACCTGCCAGCAAGGTGGCAGAGCTAGCTCAAGCATAACCCTGCCCCCGACACACACAGCTTTGCTTTACATGTGTCTTTCACCCCAGACTAGTATCTGTGAGAGTCCAGTATTTTCCAAAATGGCTTCCTGTGTCCATATGGCAATTTTAAGATATCCTTTGGCTAGAAGGGAACCCTACCCCCATAAGAATGCGTGCACACACACACACACACACACACACACACACACACACACACACACACACACAGTGAGTCATCCCATTTCCATCCTGCTGTAATTCGGGTTTCCTGTGCCTCTCCTGTCTCTAAAACACTTCTTTCTTCTTTTCTTTCTCTCTCTCCACTGTTACTAATGTTCCAGCCCTGTGTTAACACCCACCCACCAGGCTCTGTCCCGGTTTGCTGATTCCCTGATTTCAGGCCTGCCATCTCTTTCTCTCCTCTAAGAACATCATCTCCCATGTGACCTGTCCCATCCCTGTCCCACTCTACAGTAAAGAGATGCTTAGAATCCCTGGGATGGGTGAAAGTGGCATGCCTGCTGTTCAATGGGCTCTGGGGCCTTCGGGTATTAGGTTCAGCAGTGAGGCTCCCATCCCTATATCTCTGAGCTAGTTCTGCTCCTTTACTAAGAGGGCAGAGGTGTAGCACCTCTGCAACTTAGTGGCCCCTGCCTAGGTAGTCACTGTCACCTGCAGAGGGCAGTGGATGGGTGGGAGGAGTTAAGCGAGGGAGAAGGAGCACCTATCAGGCCCTAGATGGCAGCTGTCTCAGAGGCCTGGCCTACTCTGACCACCATCATCCCTGGAAGGAAAGGAGATATGGACCTCCAAAGCTGCAGCAGACTCTACCCCTGCACCAGGCACACACATGCATGGACCATCTGCATCCTCGCATCCCAAAAGCATAGTAATCCATCCCTCTACATCCAGTGCCAGTGCAGGCTCCCTGGGAGCCTTGGCCCCTGTCAGGACCCCTGGCCAGCCATGGTTCTGTGAATCAGAGCCTGTGTCCCTGAGCTCATCCCTAGGAGCCTCCCTCTTCTGAGGGCTAGGAGCCCCTGGAATGGCCTCATCGGCCGTCACCTTCTTCAAAGCCTCGGGGACACCTCAGCATCGCCGGGTGGGCAGTTCAGCAGGGAGATTTAGTCTCAGAAAGTAACCTGAGCATAGCTGGCAATGGCCCATATGCCACACAGCTGAGGGACCCAGCAGAGCTTGTGTTCTTAGTAAGCAGGCTTGTGAAATTAAAAAGAAGTTAAGGAAAAAGAAAGAAGAAATTAAAAGGGCATACCCCACAGGTCAAAACCGTAGCTCCATCCCCTTTTTCTTCTCCAGCAATAGGGTTCCATTTTCTTCCTCAAACTGTCAAAAAACAGAGTTCCATTAGTTTTCTTTGGCCACAGTAGATGAATGGCTGTTTTGATTTGCTTTAATTTGCCTCCATTTTTCCAGGTCTGTAAGCAAATCAAATAGAAATTAACCAGTTTCCTTCTCTGGGGCTGAGAGGCACTATCCATTTTTTTTTTCTAGCTAATATGTCCACCTGCTAGTATGACAGAGGCCTGGCCAGGGTGACCAGGGAAGGACAGTGCCTTTAGATGAGAATTTCCAGCAAGTCTCTGTGCCCGTAACACCTCCCTCTTCTCTTTCCAGCTCTCCTTGTCTTGGTGACTCATGGACACACAGATAGGGTAGTACTGAGTGTTTGCTCTGGTGCATTAGATAAGTCAGGGCCTCAGGGGCTTCCCAGGCACCTTCATGTTGCTGTCTCCTTATCAGCTTGTGCTGAGGCCATCACAGAATTTGCTCTCCAGACCCCTGACACAGAGGCCCTTCTATCGTGTTAACACTATTAATGGTGGGTTGGCTAGCACCAGGTATATAAATTGTTTAACAATCAGCTCTCCACAGTTAAACACTGAACTGAACAGAACTGAACTGAACTGAACTGAACTGAACTGAACCCAAGGAACCCAGTGACAGAGAGAGAGGAGCGAAGAGCAAATTGGCAAAGAATGGGCTGGCAAACCCAGCAGAGACAGCTGATCCGAACAGGGGAAAGCTCTTGGACCCCAGACTGACAGCTGGGAGGCCAGCATGGGACTGATCCAGACCCCCTGAATGTGAGAGTCAGTGAGGAGGCCTGGGCAACCTATGGGGCCCTGGGCAGTGGACCAGTGTTTATCCCTGGAATATCAAACAGACATCGTGTGTCCATAGCACAAAGAGGGATGCTCTCTCAGCCTGGACTCTTAGGGGGAGTGCCTGGACCCTACCCTGAGTGAAATGACAGATTCTAGATATCCCCTATGTGGAAAGAATTGGGGATAGGGTGGGAGGCTGGGGGGGATGGTGGGGGGGGTGCGGGAGGAGGGCAGGGAAAGGGAACTGGGATTGACATGTAAAACAAGCTATTTAAAATTAAAATAAAAAAAAACCAATCAGCTCTCCAAAGGGAAGCAAAAAAACAACCCTCCCACACACAAACAGTTCCCTGACTATCAGTAGTGTGAAAACTCCCATTATCATTGTTTATTACAAACTATCAGCCTGTTGTCAGATAGGTCATTGGGTGCTTAAAAACATAACAGTTGGCTGGCTCCTAGTGCCTCACCAAAAGGCACAGGACCCTAGGACAAATGAGCTGTCACACAAACAAAAAGCCTACTGTCCAAAGCAGGGGAGGTGGAGAGCTTTTGGTCGAGGATCCGAAATTTTGGATAGGAACAGTGTGTCACACCATATATTGCCTCTATTAAATAATAACGTACCCTATTCCTGAAAACAGCTAGGCAGATAGATATTAAATGTCCTCACCACCATAAAACAAGGTAAGTATGTGAGGTAATTTGTGTTAATTAGCTCTGTTTAGCCATTCCACAATGTATATGTGTTTCAAAACATCATGCTGTATATAATTGGAATATACATTTTTTAATTAAAAAGAAAAAAATTATTTTGGTTTTCTTGAGACAGGGTTTCTTTGTGTAGCCCTGGCTCATGGAACTCAACCTGTAGACCAGGCTGGCCTTGAACTCACAGAGATCCGCCTGCCTCTGCCTCCCAAATGCTGGGACTCAAAGTCTATGCCACTACCTCGTTTTTAAAAGTGCTCTGCTAACCAGCAGCACTGTTCCTGCCCAGGAGCTGATGAGATATGCAAAGCTGTTGAGGAGGTAGACTGTGCAAGTCCTTGGGTTTGATCCTCAAAGCCAAAGAAGGGGTAAGAGATGCAGAACCCAGCCCTGGCCTGTCAGCATCAGGACTTGTCTTTCTTCTTCCAGTAGTGGGGATTGATCCCAGAGCCTCACACACGCTAGGCAAGCTCTCTACCACTAAGCTGTACCTCTAGCCCAGCATACAAATTTTAACATACATGTATCAAAGTTTGAGGTCTGTTTAAAATGTGGTGAGCATGCAATGCAGACGCCAGTTCAGCCCTCTGGTGGCCCCTGGCCAGTCGGTCTGATTAGCTCACGTGTGATTTGCAAGTCCGGCTGTGATGTAAGTGGCCCAGTTGCTTTCCCTCTGATCACCCAGCACCCCTCTCACTATTGCCTCTCCATCATCCCTTTCCGCGTGCTGTCCATTGAGCCTCCACACAGATGTGGTCCCCTCCCACTGAACTGTGCTGTGCAGTCTGTAGTGCCCTCTCATCCTTGCAGCAAACACCAATGCCTGGAGCAGAGTCCAGCTTGGAGCAGATATGCAGCCCCTGTCTACTGGCCGAGGTCTGCACCCACCTAAGCACCAGCTGTTTACTGAGGTCTGCACCCACCTAGGTGCCTACTGTTTACGGAGATCTGCACCCACCTAGGTGCCTGAAGTTCCACACAGCCCCCACTTGTTGCTGAGGTTTCTGGCCCATCCCTTCTTTCAGAGACCCCCAGCTCTCTGATCCTATCACTATTTATTTAGTCGAGGCACTCAGTCTCTGCCTTGACATCAGCCACGCTCCTCCTTCAGCCATACTGTTTCAACCCCCACCCCATTCTCCTCAGTTCCCCTACTGTACTGTCTAGTCTCACACCATCAGAGAATGGTTATCATCTGAGAAACCTGTCAACTTCCTACCACCCCGATCCTAAACATCCTCTAGCCAAAGAGGAGAACTCTCGTGTCCCCAGCCCGCCACTCGCCTCCCTGCAGTCATCACTGGACGTTTGGGGGCCTCCACCTGGACCTGCGAGCCCTCCCAGGGCTGGTTCCATCCCTCTCCAACCCCTGGTTCTGCTGCCTTGCTGTTCCTTCGTCCCTTTTCTGGCTTTTCCTTTTATCTTTCGGTGCATTCTCGAGGCCCTTCTCCCTTCTCCCTCAGCACAAGGGAACCTCCTACTTCTCTACCTATAGTCATTATGGGTTAACTGATGACATCCAAGCTAGCCTCTCTCCTGATTTCCAGAACTGTCTACCCAGTCACCTGCTGATAAATCCACACTTCTAAGAGCTCAACCTTGGCCTTAGTAATTCCTTCTACAGGCACACACCACTAGGTATATACAAAGCCATCCTGGCTAGGCTACCCTCTCTCCAGATTCATCCCTACGTACTGCTTTTGAGCTAGTCAAGCTAAGTCCCTGGGACCCTGAACACATCTAAGACTCTCTGTGTATCCTTTTCCTGTTACCTGGAATGTGTCTCCCTGAGCTCCCTCCCCTCTCAACCACCTTCCTCCAGAAGAACTCAACTAATTCCTGCTTAGCAGACATTCCTTTCAATATTGTCTTTTCTTCAAAAAATAGAATTTTAAAGTAAACAAAATATCAACTTATCCCAATTGTTTTGTATCTGGGTAAATATATAATTTAATACTCCCCTAAAAAGAGGATTGAAATAAACACTTGGGTACACATGGAGTCCATTTTAAACTTTAACTCCTCCAGTCACTATTTCAGACTTCTTGTTCTTTCTTGCCTTCTCCAACACTTCCCACCAAAAGCCCAAGCCTTGTGTATAGACCACAGAATCCCAGATCAAGTATTGTGGTCCCACCAGGCCAAGAATTACTGTCTTTGCCAGCTGACATTCTAGTCTCCTTTCCAGTCCCTACTAAGCTATCAGTGAAGGAGAGGTTCCTTCCACCAGGGCCTTAACTCTGTCCGAAATGATTAATCTTTTCCCCTCACTTTCTGCTGTAAGTGCATATTACATCCTGACCCAGTTTCCCAAATGTTCAGGCTCTCACAGCACAGTGCCCCAGACGTGCATGCTAGCACTCTCTGGGCACACTGCTTTGATTTCATGATACTTCAGTGAATTGTGTTTTGCAATTTGAAAACCTAGGCTGTAGTTGATTTCTGTTAGATCCTCTGCTATTCCCTGTCCGTATATTAGTGACCCACCATTCAAGGTGTTAAGATTATTTTCAGTTAAGTTTTATTTATCAAAAGGGCCATGTTTTTTCCCTTCTTAACATGAGAAGCATATTTTGGACATCACATAGTTTTTAGATGGTCAGTTCATTAACACACGTCTGTGATTTCCTATGCTTTGCGAAAGACAACTTTAATAAGGTCTGTGTGCATGTGGGGAGCACATGCATGTTGCCAATCTATACTGTAGGGCTGTAGAAAGTAAAGTCTTAAGAAATGGAAGCTGAGGCTGAAGAATGGATCAGTGGCTCAGAGTGTTGGATGCTCTTCCAGAGAACCCAGGTTCAATTCCCAGCACTCGTACATGGCTCACAACCATCTGTGACTCTAGTTCCAGAGGATCTGATGCTCTCTTCTCATCTCTTTAGGCACCGCATGCGCGTACGCGCGCGCGTGTGCGCGCGCACACACACACAGATACACATGCAAGAAAAACATCATGCATACAAAAAGTAATGTTTTTAAATAGTAAATAAAAATAAATGAGAGCTTTTGTAAGGAGTTGGTTGTGTTCAGTAATCCTAAAAACAGTATGTTGGAACCCAGTCCTACCATGAAGATTGGCAATTTATAGCAAGATGTTGGTGTACATGTCTGTACACTCCAGAACTCAGAAGGTACAGGCAAAAGGATCAGAAGTTCAAGGTAATTTGCTACATAGTGAGTTCAAGACCCACCTAGGCTACATGAGATCTTGTCTCAAAAAGAGGTTGATGGCTGTAGAGATGGCTCAGGCATTAACAGTGTTAATGGTGTTGTAGAGCATGCAGATTCGGTTCTCAGCACCCACATGGCGACTCATAACCATCTGTAAATCCCAGTTTCTGGGGATCCAGCACCCTCTTCTGTTCTCTGAGTGCACCAGGCATGTGTGCGGTGCACGTACATTCATTCAGGCAACACTCATACACATGAGATAAAAATAAATAAAATCTCTTTAAAATGTGGAATTGGCCTGATGGTGGTGGTGGCTCACACTTTTAATCCTGG